GAGCTAATAATATCTCCCCTTTCATTCATTTAGCAACTGCTTAGATCTCACTAAGAGGCAGCGTGGTACGATAGTGGAAAGAGCAGAGACAGCGGGCAGAGTCCTGCTTTAATGCAATGCAACTAACCGCATTTCATTAAATCTAGGACATCAGGATTGCAAGACGAACCATTATTTTACGTGCTCCTAGGAAAAAAAATTCCAACTCGATAATTTCTTATCTCTTGGAATTCTATTTTATAGTCATTAAAAGAGATCTCTTAGACCGACTGATATTTTGACATAGATTTTATTCCACATCACTCTTCGTATAGATAAACATGAAAATGTTAGCCAAATAAATTGGTGGTCAAGGCCCTCTGACCAAAGACCACCGGAGATACACCTATCGTCAAGAAAAAGGTACGTTTATTTAACTTGCTGCAGTAAAGGAGGAGGCAGGAGGATTCAGGCCCGGCTAGAGGGATCTTTGGTAAAGCAGCAGCAGCCACTCAGAGAAAGGCGAAGTCATTTGTGTGGTTGCGCATTGGCCTCATCTACGTCTCATTCCAGGCATGGTTTATGTTCTGCTAACATCACTGTCTGAATGAGATCCTTCCCAGACCCGAATCCAATGTGCGTACGAGTGTTGGCTTCCCCACACCAATGAGCAATTCTCCTCACCAACAGGGTGTCCAAGAATCCTTCAGGGTTCTGACAGTATCTACCCAGGGATAGAACCAGATTCCACGGGTAAAAGGCTCAGTCCCAGAAGACCACCTTCCATCTTCAGATGCCGGTTAGGCTACAAATTGGAGGTTCCAATGATCCCCTCCAACTCAAGATGCTAATCACAGTCCAGGTTGTTACCTGCACTTCTCTGACAGAATGGCTATAAATCAGAGGTTCCCATGACCCCCTCCACAGGTTTGGTAAATTTGCTAGTATGGCTCACAGAACTCAAGAAAACCCATTTACTCACTAGATTGCCAATTTATTACAAAGAATATTAAATGATACCTATCAATAGCCACACAGGGTGAGGTCCCAAACAAAGGAGCTTCTGTGGAGCTTGGGAACCTGTGCAGTGGTCCCCAACATGGAAGCTCTCCTAAAAAGGGTGGATGAGCAGTCTTTTGGGGGGCTTTAATGGAGGGTTCATTGCTAGTCATGATGCACTCGGTCATTGGTCAATGGCGATTAGTTCAACCTCAAGCTTCTCCGCCTCCCCAGAAATCAGAGCAGGGACTGAAAGTTCCAGTCCTCTAACCACCTGGTTGGCTCCTATTGGCAACCTGCCCCCACCCTTGGGTGAAGTCCAAAAGTCACCTCATTCACATAACAAAAGACATCTTTATTAGTCTCAACTCTTAGGAAATTCCAAGAGTTTGGAGAGCTGTGGGTCAAGAACTGTGGACAAAGGCCACATATATGTGGAGTATATTTTGACCAAATATATATTTCTTATAAATCACGATATTGCACTGTTCGAATATCAGAAAGACCATCTTACACTTTTTGATATTCCTAAAACTTCACATTGATGTTCATTACAGAAACCATCCCCATTTCAAAGCTGTTAAAATATGAGAGGAAATGTTCATCCTAGATTTGACGAAATAGGATTCTCGCTGTATTATTTGGGCAAAAATTTAACCCTTTAAGCCTCAACTTCCTGCTGTGTTGATGTAAGAAATGTCCAAAACTGTGGAGAATTTTTATAAGAAGTTTATTTGAGCCAAAAGGATGACATGTACCAGGGAGCAAGATCTCAAGTGGTCCAAAGAATTAGTTTTGCAGGTTCTTTTATGCATTTGAAATTAAGAGGGGAAACTAAGGAAGATTACAAGAAGGTGAGGGAAGGAAGCAAGACAAGTATTACAGGGTAGTTAACAAGATTCTGTGCTCTCTTGAGTGCATCTAAGTTAATGCAGTTTATTTCAAAGGTGCATTAACTTAGATGCACTGAAACAATAGATAGGGCTTGCTTAAGGCAAAGATATGCCTTTTACTAAAAAGTTACATGCCTGGGGCGTGACTACCCACCACAACCTGCCCAGTTAGGAATTTATGATCAATTCATCCTGTGAGATTACTTTACAGTGAAGCCTTTTTTTTTTTTTTTTTTTGTCCATATCTATAAAGTGAGAACAATACAATCTACCACACAAGACTTGCGAGGACTAAGAAGTAATGTGTATAATACTGAGTGTATCACTCAGGGTTCAACCAGGTAAAGAAGACCCACTCTAAGTATGTAAAATGGAAAATTTAACGCAGGATATTGGTGATACCAGTGATGATGGAGTGAGAAGCCCAACAGGGGGAACTGAGGCAACCCAGAGATGATCAGAAACAAGAAGCTGCCCACTGCCCTACACTGGAAGAGATGGAATCAATGGAGCCCTGGGGCGAGGCTCGCCCTTCGAAGTTGGACCACAGCAGCCTATCCAGTAGGAGCTGGAACCACAGAGGAGCCTCATCACCTGCTGGAGACCTGCCCGAGCCTGAGCAAGAGAGACAGAGACAAAGAGAAGAAATAGCTCGGCTTTTTCCTTCCTCCCAACCTCCACTGTACTACCACTGTCTCCCCTTGGCCAGACCCAAGCCTGGAGGCAGCTGTCTTGGAAACCTGAGAAGCTGTACCCTGCAGGGCAATACTGAACAGGGCACAAGGACTAGAAAGGGATCAGCCACAAAGGGTAGAGGATGACCATTAGGTAGAAATTAGTTGAACAGGCTTAGTAATACCTTTATTTGTAAAACCTTTAGAGTACTGGATATACTTGAAAGGAACAAAACTATTCACTTAAAAACATACTGTAATCCATATAGACTAGTACATCTCCTCTCCCGCTCCCAACGCATTACGGTCATGTGTTGCTTAATGAAGGGGTTCGTTCGGAGAAATTCGTTGTCAGGTAATTTGTCGTTCTGGGAACATCATAGAGCGCACTTACACAAACCTGGGTGGTATCGCCTACTGCACACCTAGGCTGTACAGTAGCAGCCTATTGCTCCTGGGCTAAAACCTATACAGGCATGTTACTGTACTGAGTACTGTCCGCACTTGTAACACAATGGTATTTGTGTATCTAAACATAGAAAAGGTACCATAAAAATACGGTATAAAAGATTTTAAAAAATGGTACACCCGTATTGAGTATTTACCACGAATGGAGCTCCCAGGACCGGAAGTTGCTCTGGGTGAGTCAGTGAGTGAGCGTGAATGAATGACACTGTGCTAGTGTCATTAGGCTACACTAAATTTATACAAATATATTTTTCTCTTGTTAATAATAAATGAACCTTAGTTTACTTTAACTTTTTTACTTTATAAACTTTTAAATTTGTTTTACTTTTCTACTCTTGTAATAACACTTTAAAACACAAACACTAAAGGGGGTCACATATGTGGTGACAGAAAGAAATCTATTGTAGGTGAACACATAATGTAAACATATATAGACCTTACTGTTAAAGTGTACAGATGAAACTTATTAGATTTCATTAACCAATGTCACCATAAAAAGTTAAATAAAAATTAAACACATTGTACAGCTGTACAGGTATTTTATTTATATCCTTCTATAAGCTTTTTTTCTGTTTTTAAAATTTAAAAATATATATTTTTTTTACTTTTTAAACTTTTTTTAAAAACTAGGACACAAACACACACACATTAGCTTAGGCCTACACGGAGTCGAGATTGTCAGCATCTCTGTCTCCCACCTCCACATTTTGTTCCCCTGAAGCCTTCGAGGGCAATGACATGAAGGGAGTTGTCATCTCCAGTGCCAATGTCGCCATCTCCAGTGCCAATGTCGCCTTCTCCTGGAACACCTCTTAAAGGACCTGCCTGGGGCTCTTCTTGAGGTGTCGCTCTTTTCGGGTACTGCTACTACTAGACCTCACTAGGCCATAGGAGTTTTTCATCCCCATTACTATCTTAGGGGACCATTGTCGTATATGCAGCGCATGACTGTGCATCATTCGGAGTTACTACTGTGCCTGGTCTGATGCAGTGGCATTTTAAGGTGGATTTTCAGTGTCTGACATTTTCTCAACTGAAATCTCAGAGGGAGATGCCCATCTATGTCACAGAGGTGAAAGGTCAGCCACAGAAGGATCGTAATACAACAGTGACATGGTAACTGGACGCTGGTCTTGGGACTCTCAAAGATTTCTGTGTGACCGTGTGGAGGGTCACAATCTCTGGACTCACGTTTGAAAACTGGAGATCATAAATATCGGGGGTGTTTTGCATGCCCTCACATTCCATTTGACTCTTCATCTTTGCATGACCTTGCCCAGAAGGCTCCATGATGTTTTTCCGAAGAAAGAATGAAGTAGTCTAAGAAAACAGATAACGTGCCCAAGATCACAGAGCTGGCAAATCGGATTCTGCGGCTGAAAGACACGTACTGTGAAAGTCATGGGTATTTTACTGTCAGGCCACTGATGGCTTCAAACCCCTTGTCTGAGGCATTATTTCATCTCAGGGGTGGGAGCCCAGGCACACCTACGGAGACAGGGCTGCATTTAAGCACAGGCACGCGCGCGACTG